TGTGGCGGAGCCCCCTGCAGCACTGCTTCACCAGCCCCAGAGACAGGGCTGGATTAAGAGCAGATACCTAAGGTGAAGAAAGAGCCAGTAACTAATTGAAGGCAAAGCTTTGGTTAAAGAGTTAAATGACACAATGGGTCTGACCTAAACCCACCTCGGGGACAGACTACATCAACAAAAGGCGGGACGTGATAGCAATATGTGCAAATGCCCTTTTACAAGGAGAAAGTTGGTGTTAATGTTTAACCCCGTTAAAAGCTACAATGATGGACGTGGCAAACAAGAACACAGATTATTTCAAGAAGCCTCAGGGTAATGCTGTTTCACAGATAATGCATGCAAGCAGACTTAAAACCCATCACGGTGGAGAAGCCATGGCAAATATGATCTGCTGTGTAGAAAGGGAAACTGAGGCACACCACCTCATTGATTGGATGGCTAAATGCCAAGGTAAAACTTTCCAGAATGTAAGTAATAGCCACCTGCAGATAATACCAGTTGAAGCGACAGAAGTGATATCAGTGTTGCAAGAACAGAAAATGGTGTTTTCCAACAAGCCAGGAAAGACACGCGCTAACTCATGAAATTGCTAGCCTGGTCCCCAAAGTGTTAAATGAGATAACCACGTATGCTTGTGCAAAGTTGTGTAAGATCAGAAAAACACTTGGGAATTATGCTGTCAAAACTCAAACGGGCATTAACGCACCCTGCCTTGGGGTGACTGACACGCTGACAGTATTTTGAAGAGGGAAGCCATGACAGTCTACACTAGAACAGTCCCCATTTTTACAAGATGACAATAAATCTGGAACAAAGTCTGCCTTGTGAGGTATCACTTGAAAAATCACGGTCTGCTGAATATTACTGTCCTGTTAAAAGGTGCGTATATGGCGTTATGAGATTCTGTTCTATGTTTGTAACTGCACCATGCTGTAAATCTGAGAAATGTCCACAGACAAGCACCTCAGAGGCTGGGTGACCAACACCCAGCCAGGTGCTATGCAACCATCCCCGGCCATTTGCCAGTGGGGAGCTGTAAACGAGAGATTTACAATTCACCCGAAGGACAATTGCTCCTTCACTTATGCCCTGGAGCTGCCCTGCCACATCACCCAGCCAGGACTTTCCCAGTAAGAAACGTCAGGATATTAAAAGGGGGAAAACCGGCACCTGGGCACCTCTTCCCCCCCCTTCCTTCTTTCCTGAAAGCTTGACAGACTGAACTGGGGAGCTCGGTCCCAGGCTGGGAAGGAATTGCAGCCTGTGCACTCAGAACTGGCAACTGCCTGCAGCATCCTGTAGGGTGAGAAAAGCTGCCTGCTTCAAACCTTCCCTTAGCCTGGTAACGGTTCAGGACGCAGAGTGCGCGTTTACCTTTTATTTCTGATGTAACCAGTTCCGACCTTCGTGCCCCATAACTTGGGATCACTTACAACCCTTCCTTCTCTAGCTACTAAACTCGCTTTAGTGTTTGATCTAAACCAGCGTGTTGGATTGGAGCATTTGGGGAATGTCTCTGAGCCCATTAGGGCTGGTGCAGGATTGTTACCCTGGGATGGCCTGACGAACTAATCAATGAGCTCGTGCTGCACAGTGACCGGACTGGACAGCACAACATGCACATCTCTGGGGTGTGAGGCTGGGGCTGGAGAATTTGCAGATGTTGCCATGTGTGTGGTTCCAGTGTGGCTGGGAGAGCTTCATGCATCTCAGCTGGGTGGTGTTTGCACACTGGTGGCTATGTGTGAGCAGGGCCTGGAGAGGCCTGGCGTTCACACAGCAAAGCCGTGTAAAAGACTCCCTGGGCTGGAGGATTAAGGAGGGGAACAGCAATTCAGCAATGCAGATTGTACCCTGGGGGTGCAGCAGGATCTGTGAAGTGGCCATGGGTCTAACTGTGGGGCGCATGGGGGGCACAGAGGTATCTGTGGGGTTCACCATGGGGCGTGTAGCGGGGGCGCAGCATGGCCGGCAGCAGGTAGCGGGTGGCCCCGTCAGGCTCCAGCGGCAGCTCGCAGACGTAGCGCAGGGTCAGCGCCGCCTCCTCCCCGGGGGGCAAGTTACCCAGGGAGCAGCTGAAAACATCACCCCCGGCCCCTCCTGCTGCAGCAAGAACGAGCTCTGTCCCCCGGCCAGCGCGTCCCTGTACAGCTCTTGTGCTTGCTGGAGAGACAGGGTCATCCTGAGATCCCCCTGCCCCCAACAGCTTCCTACCCCCTGGCCAGTATGTCCCGTACAGCTCCCATGCATGCCGGGGACACTCATGTCTGGAGGGCTGACGGCACCTCTACAGGACCCGACAGTGCACACGTGTCCTCCCCCCCCCCCACTTCCTTTTATCCACACCTGCCACTTGGAGCATGCCGAGGCAGGGGCGGGGCCTCTGTGGTTAACCCCAGCTTGGCCAGTGTGGGGTGGACACCCCCCCTCCCAAGGGAGTGTATGGGGCTGGATGGACGGACAGACAGAAGGAAGAAGGTGTGTGGGAAGAACTGTGTGTGTGGGGAGTGAGCATGGACGGAGAGAAGGAAGGAAGGTGTGTGGGGTTGGACAGAGCATATGGGGGGGGGGCTGAGGATGGACAGAAGGGGGTGTCGGACAGGCATGGGGGTGAGGACAGATGGATGGAAGGAGGGGGAGTCAGAGCAGGGGGTGAGGATGGACAAGCCAGCCAGATGGACGGGCGGGGTGCGGTTGGACAGGCATGAGCGGGGGCTGAGGCTGGTGGGATCCGGAGGCAGTTCTGAACCAACAATGTGCTGAATTTCCTGCTCTGGTTCCAATCCAAACTCCCACCCCTCCCCCATTCTGGGCCTCGCTCCCAGTGCCACGCTGGGGGGTTAGTCAGGGGAAGGGAGCCAGGACTCTGGATTCTATCCCCAGCCCCTGGGGGCCCCCTGAAGCAGTGCCAGGCTGTGGGGAACCTGGGTGGGTCACTGGGGGGGTTCATCCAGCTGGGCTGTCACCCTGCAGAGAACAGAGGAGGTTTGCAGAGCGGCCGTTCCGGGCGGAGGGGGGGCGGGCGCTGCTATTTACTTTCACTGGGGGGGGGGGGTGGGAATGGCCGCCATGAACCCCCCTGCCAGAGGCTGTAAAGTCCAGTCCTGGCCACAGCTGGGGGCTCCTGCCTGTCCCGGAGCCGGCCGGCCTGGGCCTGGCAGGAGTGAAAGACCGGCAGCAGGCTGGGTTCTCCAGCAGCAGGAACCCGGCTCTGAATGCGCGGGGAGTCTCTGTGGAGGAGCAGGGATCTGAGGGTGCCGGGGGTGAGGAACGCCAGAGCTGCATGACCAAGAGCGGCTTCAGACCCCGCTCTCGGGGCCGGGTTTCATCTCGCTGCCGCTCGGCCAGGTGAAGAATTCCCAGCTCCGAGGTTGGATGGGAATGTTGGGATCACCCAGGTAACCCACATGCCTGGCAAGGCCCGGAATGAACTCCTAGGGAAACTGAGGCACAACCCCCCATCCTGCTTCAAACGCTGGCTGCCATGGAGGATCAACCCCACCCCTGGGTGAGCTGTGCCAACAGCTAGTTACCCACCCCCCAGAAACATGCGCCTTCCTTTCAGTGCGACCTCATCTGCCTGCCACCCCCAGTCCTGAGCCGGTGCCAGAGCAGGGCCTGTGATGCTGCTGTGCCCCCACAGAGCAGGTATTCATGGCTGGGGGCCAGGCACCTCTTTGCCTGCTCTGGGGTAAGCGCCATAGGCCGGGAAATGGCGGAGGCCCCGGGAAAGGCTCTGGCAGGGAAGGTAGGCTGGTTGTTTGTCCCTGGGATTTAACTCTGACACCTAGTTCCCAGGCCGGAGAAAGGGAGTCGGTGTGAAAGCTACAGCAATTCACTGACTGCGGCTCTCGCTGCTGCAGCTGCTTCTGGCAGAACGCCCGAGGCTGAGTCACTGGCCGGGGGGTGAGGTCAGAGCAGGGAACAGGCCCCCAGCAGCCCCCAGAGCCCGTGGGAAGCAGGACAGACCCGGCTGGGCGCCACGGGGATGGGCACTGGGAGATCCATGCAGGGAGAAGTACGGAAAGGAACAGAAAGGGGCGGGGGAACTGGGGGTTGGATAGGGCAGAGCCACAAAGGTTTAGGGGTCACCTCCCTCCAACCCCCCCAACCCTGCCCTAGCACGCAGGGCCCCCACATCCAGGGAGGGGAGACTCTGCAGAGGTGAAGCCCTGAGTCAGGGGGATAAGCCCAGACCTGGGGGTGAGGGCAGGACCCAGAGAGGACAGAGGGACCCTGGACCCAGGGGGGCAGAACTAGGGGGGCTGATGGACCTCACCTCAGGGGAGAGATGCAGAGGCTGGAAAATCGAAAGTACTTTCCCCCGCTAGCCCCGCCCCACCCCACACAGTGAAGGAGTGTCTGCAAACTCCCCGCTCCCAGCTACTCTAAGTCAGGGACTGTCTGCAAAGTCCCCGTCCCCCCAACTGGGAGCCAGGGACCGTCTGCAACCCCTTCCCTCCACACAGCCGGCCATGTGCTAGGGTGCATCTGCAAACTGCCCCCCCTGTGAACTGGGGCTGTCTCCTGCCTGCCCCTTTGCTGCCCTCTGGGGCCATTTCACTGGCTGGCCGCTGTCTGCTCAAGCCACGCTGCCTTCCCCAAGGAGGGTCTGACCTGCCAGACACGCACATCCCCTCGTGCACCCTGGGGGATCCCTAAATCCAGCCCTGGGTGGGCAGCAAATGCAGCTGGAGCGTCCCCCAAAAACTCTGTTTGACTATGCTAAAAATCAGTGTCAGTCCCCAGGCTGCCCTGGCCTCATGGCCTTGGGGCTGTCATTTGTCAGACAGACATTGAACCAAACCCCTGGGGATAAAAGAGGTTTTTATTTTATTTGCTATTTCTGCCACTTTTCATTTCAGCATTGTTGGCACCAGCTCCCTTCCCTCCCCCCTTCCTGCCCTCCCCCTCACCCCCCAGTGAGACTCCCCACCCCACTGGGACTCAGGAAGCAGCTCCTGCTTCTCATGGCAATGGGCTCAGGCTCTCTGCAGACTCTGGCCGCGTTAGTCACACTCTGGGCAATTCCCTGCTCTCACAGCTCAGCTGGCTGGGAGCAGCAGGGGCCTGTGGAAAGCCTAGGAGCTGGGAGCAGACAGGGGCTGCAGGGACGTGGTCTGCAGTCCCCCCTGGGGCCAAGGGACGCGTGTTTGGGGCTATGGAGTGGAGTCTGCGGTTACTCACTGGGAAGAGGGAGTCCGGGCTGGCAAACCGGGGGGGAGCCGGAAAGGCTCAGGGGAAAGCAGCAAGGTGCAGGACAGCACAGACCTGGGCTGCTGAGTGGAGGGCCCTGAGCTGGGACCCAGAGCAGAGGGCGGCCCGGTTCCCCTGCCATTCCCTGGGCAGGGTGTCATGGAATTGGGGGAGACAAGGCCCTGCACCCCTGGCTTCCACGACTCTCAGCCAGCCAGTAAAACAGAAGGTTTATTTAGATGACACTGTCCAAGACAGGTCTTGCAGGTACAGACAACAGGACCCCCTCAGTTAGGTCCATCTTGGGGTGGGGCCAGGAAGGCCAGAGCCCCATCTGGGCTCCCCTCCATTTTCCCAGCCAGTTCCAAACTGAAAACTCTCTAGCCCCTCCTCTCCCTTTGTCTCTTTCCCAGGCCAGGAGGTCACCTGATCTCTTTGTTCTCCAATACCTTCAGTTGGCACCTTTGCAGAGGAGGGGCTCAGGCCATCACTTGCCAGGAGACAGGGTGTCGGCCATTCTCTGTGCAGACAGGATCACACTGGCCCCCTAGGGCTCTGCAACAATCACACACCCCTAGACACTCGAGAAATGCATAGGGGAAACTGAGGCACCCACACAGCACTCAGAGAAAACATAAAGAACATTCTCACTTTGTCCCACAGGGGCACAGACCAGGCAGCGGGGAGCGGATTGCCTGGGACAGTTTGCCCCGAAAGCCTTTGATACCCTGGAAGAGGAGGACACTAGGACCTGGCTGGAGGGCCGAGTCACCCAGAGGCAGCTGCAGCTCCTAGGGGGAAGGGCTGCGGAGTGAGAGGGGACAGTGGGAAGTGAGACCCCTGAGGAGGGTGCAGCACCTGGAATGAGCGATGCTCAGAGCGGCCAGGAGGCGGCGCCCTAGCAGCAGGTGGTGATGTGGCTGTACAGCGTGGCCCCCAAAAGCAATGCAGGGTGCCAGTCTGCAGTGAACTCGATGCACAATCCCGTGTCCTGCGGGAGGCTGGACAGGACGGACCGTCCTGGCCCTAGAGCCTACGGAGCCGTGAATCTGGGACATGGGACAGGCTCTGTCCTGGCCCCCAGAGGAGGTCACACCCTCCTTCCTGCCCTGTCTCTTCAGGAGCCCCAGTGGGGTTGCCAGACTGGGGAGAGGAAACGCCCCAATGCTGGGCACAGAGCAGAGAGCTCCTTGGATCTGCCCTGGGGGAGCAGGGTCCATGAGCAGAGGCAGCCCAGTGCCCCATGTGAGCCCAAATGAGCTAATCAACAGGGGCAGGGCTACACCTGTGGCTGGGCAAGGATGCCACGGAGGAGGAGGGTGGATCCTGGGGGTCGCCCTGGGGCCGGTGCGTCGGAAGGGAGCAGAGCTGGCTGGGTCTGGGAGGCTGCCAGAAGCAGGGTCACCAGGGACCCCCGGGAGGTGGCCCTGAAACCTACAGCCCAGGAGTGAGCTAAAGGCTGGTTCTGAAGGTTCCATTTGCTGGCGTTTGGCCAATACACCTCATTAGAGGGAATGGGGAGGGCGTGTGCCAGGGAGCTGGGGAGAGGCCCTGCCTGGGACGATGCCCCACTGTGGGGGAGAGCAGAGACGGCTGCCAGACAAAGCCGGGTCCCACATCCCCTGTCAAAGCTGGCCGATGGGAACTGTGCTAAGCCCAGTCGCCTCTGGGATTTAGACACCTCGCTGCTCAGGCACCAAAGCCGGAACACGGTCCTGGAGTTCAGCGTCAGGCCAGGAAAGCCAGGGGAGGAGGGGGTAGATCCGTATGATTCCTCGCCCACCTGGCTGTGGGAGGGGCAGGTTGATCCCCCTCCACCTGCCAGGGAGACGGGATTTGAACCTGGGCTCCCCCTGCAGGAGAGCGCGCTGACTGCACTGCGAGTGTCGCCCCTGGAGCTGCCCTGAGGAGCGGGTAAGGGGAGCTGTTGGGCCAGAGAGCGAGCGAGCGACTTTGGAGCCTGCAGAGCTCCCCGGGGGGCAAAG